GTTGTCCCCATGGCAAGACATTGAGGACCCAGTTCAAATGGCCTGCAATTCTAAGCCAGTGACAAAGTGGTGGACACTGACATTTTGTTTCCAGGAATTCAGATGTTTTCTTCACAACTTCAGTAATGGAATTGTCTGCAAGGAAAATGCTTCCTATGTTAATATCAACAAGGAATCCAATGATTTTTAGGGATTTCCCAAATTCCTGCTTTTTGGCTTTCCAAGGACAACTGATTTCATCCCAGAAGCATAATAACTTGACTTGTTGCTCAGGATTCCAGAGTCTGTGATATTTGATAAGATAACAAGCCAGATCCCAGGAAAAATAGTCATCCATGTAGTTGTGGAGATCTAGAATTTTGAATATCTTGATAGTGATCCAGCACATCAGGCCTGTGACAGAACACCAACACTGTGATGCTCTGTTTCTAAAAGCGAGATGATGAATGATTTGTAGTTGCTTATCTACAGCTACAACTTGTCAAAGTTGATATAATGGATGGGCTGGAAGGTTAAGGAATGCAGACAAAACATCTGACTTCCATAAAACCAAGTCTTCATTTGGATGGTTCTTTTTGGCTTCAAAGATAGCCTGACCAAATGAATGCATATTGTCGTAGTGCACCTTTGCTTCTGACCTCAGGATCCCATTGTTGAGACCTAATGCCATGTGGTCTGTGATGATCCTTGCCTTTCCTTTTTGCCAGACCACAAAGATAGGAGAAGTCTTCATGCCCAGTAAAAGACGGTTTCCTTCTATAGGGTCTGACTATTGTCTGGCTCCAATTTCATCATCTTGAAAGATGCATATAGCTTCAAGGTCAACCTCTTCAGTTGCATAGTTATTGGGGCTATCCTTGGTGTCTTTGTTCCACATTCCATCATTGAACAGCCAGAATCCAAAGCAAAGCCCATTTATCACAGACTTGACAAATGGTTGATTGGGGTGGTCAACTAGAAGGCTTTCAAACTTGTCAACATTGAAAGGTGTGTTGACTTTAATATATTTCTCCATTGAATGGAGCATTGACTGTATGACTGGGTCATCTAAAAAATGTTGCAGTGGCAAGGGTAATGGTAATGCTGTTTCAGTAGCCAACGCTGATGGCAATAAAGGAGGGGATGTGAATTTATCATTCCACAGATATATGCATCAATATCTCAGATTTTTGTAGTCAGGGAGATCAGTTGCATTTCTTTTACAGTTAGGTAGTGGTCAAGGACCTTTGAACTTTGCTTTAGCTGCCTTGAGTGAAGCTGATGCCAATTGTTCACTTTTGGCTACACTTTCTTTTAAGGCTGGCAAGGCATCCTGGGTTATCTTTGGCTCAGTGAGTCCCATGACATTTGCTGCAAATATTGTGCCTCCTGTGGTTACAACATGTATTGCCTTTGCAACTCACATATCTGAGATTCCAGTTCTGACAGATGGTGGTAGGGCATTCATGAGTGGTTAAACTAGTGCTAGTTGAAGGTCTTTTGGGTGAATGTGAATGTCCCAAAAACAATTGACCAAGCATCAGGAACAAGAGCTGATTGAGATCATCCATCCTGAAAGGGCCCCTTGCATAAGCTTTGCAAACTTCTTGATCAAATGAAATTGTGGAATATGGCAAGGAAGACAACCAGAAAATTTTGAAACTAGTGCTAGTTGAAGGTCTTTTGGGTGAATGTGAATGTCCCAAAAACAATTGACCAAGCATCAGGAACAAGAGCTGATTGAGATCATCCATCCTGAAAGGGCCCCTTGCATAAGCTTTGCAAACTTCTTGATCAAATGAAATTGCAGAATATGGCAAGGAAGACAACCAGAAAATTTTGACAATGTATTCTCTATAAGACAAAAGTTTGTCTTCCCAATGATGGTAGAAGACCAGTACTGCAGCTCTCCAAGCATCAAAAAGGTGCATCCAATCAGATTCTGAAGACATGGCCTTTTTCTTAGTGAGTGAATCCTTTGTAATGATAGTAAGGTCTTTGTTAAAATCTTTAGATTCATCATTATAGTTGTAACCTTTTTTGAAAGTCACAAAAAGGTGTTCAAATTTGATGTATCTGTCTAGAATGATTTTCTTCCAAACAGACCTAGATACAGGATTGACAAGTTGTTTGAATTGAGCTCTATCAATGAGTAAGTCCATCAATTTTTCAGAGGTGTATGCGGCCTCAAGATGACATGATTTTTTGATAATAGGGTCCGAATGAATGGAAGATGAAGACAGATCACCCAGATGAGGTGTGAGAGCAAGAACTGCTTTGGAGAAGGATGGAACAGCTCCATAGTCTTCATGTTCTTCTTCAGAATCAACATTGATAGTGATGCATCATTGTGGTGATTTATATCATTGTCCTTTATTGACAGCTGCAAGCTTTGCATGAAGAGCTGCCCAAACAGCATCATCAATTTGTTTATCAACTTCATTGCACATAGTGTCATCTTGCTCATTTCTAGAAAGCTGACCCTGGGGAGAATCAACTTGAGCTGCCTTTCTTTGTACAATCTCCAGTCATTGCTTGAATTCATTCACATAATCTCCAGTCGTTGCTTGAATTCATTTACATAATCTGTGGCTTCATTGACTGAGATACCAATTTTTTGCAATTCAGACAAGAAAGCACCTGGATCCATGTCAGAATCAACAGCCCAGTCAAGCAAGCTTTGAGCATCATTGGTCTTTGCCATAGTTCCAACTGTATTAATGGCTGCTGTGAGACCAGTTTGCGTTGCTTGCTCTGGAGTTGGATCCAGCATCTGAGATGGAGTTGTATGTCTGGAAGGAGGCAAAGCATGGGAAGGATGGGGTGCACCACTTTTGAACATGAGCTATTGCAATGGCAAGGAATGAGCTAATAAGTCGTGCAAAAAAAGGGATTGCTCTATGATCAATGAGCATGCTAGATGAGTGAGGCACAGACAACAAATGGGGAAAATCTTACTTTGGATTTCAAGCTCAATAGAAATACAATAAATTAAAACATGAGCTTGAAATCTAAAGGATCAAAGTAAGAATGATGGAATGGAGGAGAGAGCAAAAAAAATGCTCATGACAGAGTAGTGCATTGAATGGTGTGATAGAACAAATATGAGATATAGCACTACTCTGTTGAAGAGGCATCAGTGATACGCTGGGGAGAGAGCAGCAAATGTGCTCACCATTGCGACCAAGTGGTGGAGAGGTACCAAGCAATGGCAGTAAATGAGACCAGGTATCCAATCCATGACACAGTCTCAGTCCTGACTGGAACACCATGCACGGATCACCCAGGACTTGGAGATGGCAGAGGGCCCACCAGGAGATGGCACTTGCATGCCTATGCAGCAACAGGGACCAACAGTGTATGCCAAGGGTAGCAGAGGCCTTCAAAAAAGCTCCTTACCCTTGGAACCTGCTTTTATGCCAAGAAAAATCTGAGTTGACCCAGGTTCAAACTGAGGACCTTCTGTGTGTTAGACAGATGTGATAACCAACTATGCCATTGACCCCATAATGTGGCATCATGTGATAGACAATTAAAGGGTGCACATTGCAAGTGGCATGGGTACCTGAGTTGAGGGCATGTGATAACTGTAAAAAAAAAGCTCAAGTTGACACAAGCATGATGTGTTACAAAATTTACTGATCTCTTGTAATTACTCAGAACAACTCTTGTCAGCATTTTCCAAAGTCTCATTTGCTCCTAGTTATGTATTTCTCCTTTGTTCATTTCTCCTTATTTTCTCCTAATTTTATCAT